TTTTTTTTTTTTTGTATATAATGATTTCTGACGGGGTTTGCTATAAGTTCAACAGTCAGTTTATGTTTTGTGAATGTGTTTAGTTTTGATAAGTTGACTACGATGTTCAAATTTAATTAGATGAGTACTTAACTGTTTTGCTCAAATTGTTGAAGACGGAAGAGTGAGGAGTAGAAAAAATTATTGAAAATTTTTCCTTATCATTAAAAAAACTTTTCTAAAGCGACTTTAGCGTGTCTAATTTTTTTTTTTTTTTGTCTTTTTGCATTTGTTTGTTTGTTTAATTGTTTGAAATTGCCTGTTTTTTCTCGTAGTTGATTCGATTTGATGGTGTTTTTTTCCTGTTGTATCAGAGGTCTGAGAGTGCAACGCGATCAGAAATTGGTTGTTGTATAAACGATGATGAGATTTAGCTGCGAAGACTTTATCTAGGATTTAGTCGTGGAAAGGTTGTTAGAAACTAAGACTTGTTGATAGGACGGTTGTTATTTAAAAAAGTCAATTTGTTTGACCATTTATTGTAAACCATCAGTAATCTTAGTTTAAAGCACTTAGAGAGAATAAGCTTTTACAAACATTTTCTTTTCTTGTTGTTATTGTTGCTTATGCTTAACCGAGTGGTTTAATTAAAAAATATGCGGTGCACAATTACGCCTTGAACAAGAACTTCGAGCTTTCACCTGCCGCCTTATGATTTCTACTTTTTCTTCATTGTTTTTTTCTTGTTTTGTCTAATTTGTTTACCTTTGGTGCTCTCTGCTTTATTTAAATTACAGAAGAGTTAATGTGAAATAAATGAAATTTAGATGTTTTGTAACCTGTTGATTACAACATTAATCCTGTCGTAAGGTAACTGTGGATAGTCACTTTCTGCAGTGACCGCAAACTGCATATGTATCAACAATTCACGCAAGCTTCGGTGTTAACCACAGGTTTCGTCTGACAAACTGGCGAGTTGTAACAGATTTTCCGTAAAAGATAGTTGCATTTGCTATTCTTTTTTTTTTTTTTTTTTGAAGTTTAAGAATTAATTTTCTCGTTCATTTGCCAGTTAAAAAACTTAAAATATAGCACTTTAAAATGACAAGAGGACTGGCTACAGCAAATTTTGTTGCAAAATTGGTGTTGTGGGTGTTTGTGTCTGTATCTGTGTTTGTGTTTATGTCTGTGGAATTCCAATTTAAGATTCTATACAGATTTAAATGACGTTTTTTCTTTTGATTTGATTCTTAGATATAGAAACGGTTCACAGTAATGACGTTGTTGTTGTTATTTTTGTTACATTTTTTTTCTTCGGCTACTATTTATTTGTAGTGACTGTTAAATCTGGAGAGGGTTTTCTTTTTGGTTTGTTGGATTCATTTTGGCTCATTTGACTATTCAAAAAAAAAAAATTTCACATTAATCTGTTTTGTCGCTGAAATTAAACGTATTAGTTTTCTCCTTTTTTTTTATTCTTTTTTTTCTAGTTTTAGAAGGAAAAAAAAAGAAAAGAATTTGTTTTGTTTTGGTTTTTTTGTGGGTTTTTTGTGGTCGCTGCTGTTTTGTTGTTGCAATAGCAATTCAGCGAACGTGTAATTTCAATGACGAACTTATTCATGACTATATTTTTTCCCAGCATATGAATGCAGAGGTTTGGGAAACTTTAACTCCGTTAAACAAAAACTGCATTAAATTTTGATTTTTTTTTTCCTTTTTTTGGTTTACAGTACTGCAGTTGTGGTTCATTTTTATTGTTATTGCATAGGGTATAATTTTGTAAGGGTATTTTTTTAAATCATTTGACGATATGAGAATAATTGAGGTTAAGGAATATGTAACAACGGTAACTTTTGGTATGTCACTAGGTAAATCGTTGTGAAGTGGAAGTCGTTTCGTCAGTGTTGCTCTTATTACCGTTATTGCTGTTGCAATTACGTTTTTAAAAAAAAGTAATTTGGTTATGAATTAAATTTTTTTTTATTTAGTGAAATTTCTTTTTATGGAGGTTTACAGATGTGGATGGCGATGATAGTATTAATGACAGCAGATTGTGTAGTTGAAGGGGAATGATGACGACAGTGAGGTTAATTGGTTTTATGCAATTTTCAGGGATTTTTGTTGTTGTCGGCGATGATGTTTTTTATATTGCTGACAAATAAACTAAAGACTGGGGCAATGGTATGCGATGAAAAAAAAAACTTTGATTTAAATTTTCTCTTTTTTTTTTTGCTGAAAACACTGTTGAATGGCGTTTGGTGGAGTTGAGAAGGAGAGGGTATTTGAGAAAGGGCTTTTTTTGCAAAAAAAAAAATTCATATTTATTGTGTTTGTTGCAAATGTATCGTCTTCTTTGTTTTGATTGTTTTTTGGAGGGTTATTATGAATAAGAGTCGGATACTTATTTATTGTAATTTAAAGGTATCTTATAATGTATTTTAGCAGCAAAAAAATGTGTAGAATTATAAGTGTATGGATCGCTAGGTGTCTTAGACAGAATGAAGATGAACGCTTATTTGCAAACAAAAGCCGAATGAATGCTGAAGTAGGAGAACACAGCAAAACACATGAAGGAATTGAAATTTTACTAAAAAAAGAACGAAAAACTGACATTACATTGCGTTTTGTTCGTTGTGAAGAATTATTTTAGCGGAAGTGCTCAATGCTCATTTCAAGATGTTGGTTATAATAGCCAAAAGTATGAAACTGCTGATTAGCAATTGGAAGTTGATGGCTTTTACATGAAATACACTACAAACTGCATATTGTCTCAAAGTTTAAGTTTAATTAAATGAACAAAATATTTATAAATCAGGAAAAATTTACTGGTTCATTGGGCAGTTTACACTATCTTCTGTTTTACCTGTTCTTCTTCACTGGGATTACGTACAGCCAAATTCCACGTTCCAATATCAAATGTTTGATGTGGATAACGGCCAAAAGTAATGTAACTTTCAGGAAACTCTAACGTCCATTGACGTTGAGTCTATAATTTTTTTTCATAGTTTTGGTAACTGTAAAGTCTTTCAAGTTTTTTCATTTCATTTTAATTGAGCATTGATCAATGTGTACGTAACCTTTTTTTTTTTTGCATTAAGAAGTTTTGTTATTTACGTATTTAAAACATCTAATTTTTTGCATCGAAGAAATGATTGCTGAAAAGAAAGATTGTTCAGTTAGTTAACTGTAAATATAGATTGTGAAGCAGTAGCAACAGCAACGGAAGCAAAAGAACAACAATTAATGATGATGACAAAACTACGTCAAATCAGAAGCAGCAGTACTTGAAAAGACTTGTTTTTGTTGTTGTTGATGGAATGGGGATAAGACTGAGCAAGGAAAAAAAGAAATTTCTAAGATTTTACCTTCTCTTGATTTTCACAGTCATGATAAATTTCCAAGCCTGGTTTAATTCTTGTTGCAGCTGTAATTCTGCCATACAGGTCAAACTGTCCTTGATAATCTGTATAAATTCCATCAATTTCATCGCCCGTTTCTGATTCTTCTGCAACTTTTTTCACTTAATTGACTTTTGAAAGAAAAAACTGCAAGTAACCTTGTAACTACTGAATGGAATTGGAAGAACAGTACTTACAACAAAAAGATAAAATTGATTTATATAGAAAGATTGTGAACTCGATAAGGTTCTTTTTCTGGAAGTTACTGCAATGGCAATTTTCTATTTAGGTATGTTTTTAATCGAAATTCACTCAAATGATTAGACGGACGTTAGGTAAGAAAGAAACAAATTTACTATTATTTTTCGCCCTCTTACTTAACAGCTAAAGTCATCGCAGTTAGTTTTTAGTTTCTAGCAGAAAGCATTTACATTTACCAGTCTTAGTAACTCTGCTGGTAATTTGAACAGGGAAAAAAATGGCTTTTTCTGCTTTTATTTGACGTGGGTTGTTGGGATGTAGTTGTGAATGATTGCAAACTTATGAAGTGCACTGAGATCAGAATTTGCATTGTTATCTTTAAAGAAGAGAGACAAAGGAAGTTCACAGATGTTGCTTTTTTGCTGAAAATTCGTTTAGATCCTCTTAAAATATGTGTGCAAAAAAAGTGGTTTTGATTGTGGCTCTTAAGTCACATTTACGCAAGGCATATTCTTCCACTTTATTTGTGCAAAAATTATAGTCATTTGTTGATTGTTGCTAAAGAAGAAGTTCTTTAAATTAAATTTTTTTCAAAGATAAACTTAATTTTCAGGTTGCGTTATTATACTTCTCAATCTCTTTTGTTTAAATACGATATCAATTTGGCGGCACAATATTCCTTTTCTTTCACGCTTTTTTTTGTTTTCTTTGCAGATGTTCCTTACAGATATCAGTAGAATTTCGCTTAAAAATGTTTTGTTTTCAATGTTCTGTCGGATAAGACTTGAAACTACAATTTTTCAAAACCTGATAAAGGGTAAATTTTCATATCATTTATTTGATCAATATAATAATCAAATAAATTCATTACCCGAATTATAGTTTATCAACTTGACATGTACTCCAGCTGCCGGCTTGTCGTTGCAAATAAATCTTCCTACCACCTAAAATCTGTTTACTAAACAAATTTCTGAGTGGTTACAATCGTTCCAAATATTTTTTAGAATAAAAAAAAGTTAAAATGCTTGTACAGATATGAAGTATTTATGGCGAATGGATAAATCAAATGGATGAATAAACGAAAATATAAGTTGATGACTAAACGAATAGAGAATCGATGAATGGGTAAAATTAATGAGGTTAGTACAGCAGTAAATATCATTCGCGATCTGTACTTTGATTTGTAGAACAACGTGGGATTTAGCGGCTTTAATTTCAGTTTTGTAAAATTCCAAAACAGGGAAATATTTTCAAAATTTGCGAAAAGAAAAAGATTTGCAGAAAAAAAAACAAAACAAGGAAAATAAATTGGGTAAACTTACATGGTAACTTTGTTCCCGGACTTTTCCTGCTGTTGCATGAATAAATAGGCTAAATAATGAGATTGTTTCTAGAGGTATTTTCATGCTCCAAATGTCTCTTTGGTCGGCAACGATCTTTGGGCTTTGCTTAACAATAGAGAAAATGAAATTTGTTTCTGCCTATCAAACAAAAAATACAAGGTTGAATTTGAGTTGATTTACGGACAACAAATGCTGAACATAAAATTGAAAATCGTCGTACCGCATTTTATTCCAAAGGAGACAGTTAAACAACTTTAAAAGCTTGGATTATGCAGTAAATAAAAATGTAACGACATTTAAGAGAAATGGAAAAAAAAGTAGCACTGTGCGGTTTGTTTAGCTAAAAAACGTGGTAAATTTTTAGGTCTAATTAAGCTTAAGTTTAATTTCTTTATGTGATTTAGATCAATATCGCAACACTGCAGCTACAGCTACTTTTAATGTATATTTATTAAACTGTTTTTTTCTTTTTTTTTTTTTTTTGTTTCCTGTTTTGGTTTAAATGGCCGAAAGCAAACTAAGTGGTCGGAAGAGATCAGTTGATGACATTTGTGGTTGATAATTTTTTATTCGTTGTTAACAGTTAGTTTTTAGAAGTGGGGGAGGCATATTTGTTATTATTATTATTGTATAGAATTGTGCAAATTAAATTATGAAGCAGACTGAACCAAATTGAAATGGTAGAAAAAAAGAACAAAGAAAAAGAAGTTCTAGGCACACAAAGAAAGCCAACTGCATCGCAACAGTGCTAAATGTCAAAAATGTGCAGTTAAAATACCAACAATAAGATTTGTTATTAAAAGCTATTTTTTTGAATGAAATTACCAGTGTCAAAAGAAAAGGCACCGAGTCGCTGAATTTGGTGTCCAAATTGTTGGTATTTATCTTCAAGAAAAAAAGACTAACAATAATTTGTTCATTTAAAAAGGTGAAACGTCAAGTGTCTATCCAATTGCTTTTTCAGTTTATCCATCATCGATCAGCAACTGCGTAACACTGAGTTTAATCAGAATTTTTTATAGCCAGAATCTCAACTGATATCATCAAATTTTACTTTAGTTTATTTGTTCACTCTTTGATACACTTTAAAATGAGTCTAGAATATTTTCTGTGATTTATATTCATTTGTACGTTTCGGCAAATGACATTATTCGATAATTTATTAATTTAATAACATGAATAACATAAATATCATACAGTTAAAAGATAAAAAAAAAGGGAAAGAAGTAAGACATCTATTCTTGGATTTTCGCATAAAGAGGTCCCCAAATTAAGATGTTCAGAAACAAACTGCCATTAGTTATCTAAAAAATAGCATCTTTCCTTTTTTTTTTTAAATCTTTGACTCAATTTTCTATTCAATTGGATATATCAAAGCTATGTGGGTGATATATTGGTTACAAATTTTAATGAATTAATGATATGTGGTAAAATTCTATAAAATTTAATACGAAAATTATTGAAGAAAAATGAGCACAGAGGACAACCACCGCTATTGAATCAAAAAGTTGTTTTTTTTTCCTGCAAGAATAAATGCAGTAAAATGTTATTGGTGACAAAATTTTTACAGTTATTAATAAAGAAAATAGAAAGATTTTTTTTTTTGACGATCAGTGAATACAGTCACGGCTTTCACCAGGAAGTATTGCTTCCAAATTCCATGTGCCTATATCGACAATTTTTCGTTCCTCATTTTGCGATGTTATATAGTGGTTCGGTAACTCAAATTTCCACCGCCGCTGGCAAGGCTGAAACTAGAGCACAGTTATTTCCGGAAAATTCCAGTCAAACAGATTTGGAAAGATTTAAATTAGAAACCAATTCCAATGAGTTGTCATTTTTCAATAGAGCCAATTAAACTAGTGCTTTCAGAGTATTTCTTTCGGCATTAATCTCAAAAACAGGATAAACAATTGAAATTGTGCAAAAATTTTTCTTCAGGTTTTTTTCTCCAACACATCTTTGCACGGTTTGAATTTTGAAAGCAAAACAAAAAAGCATGAGAAGAAACACTAGAAGAACTGGAAAGAAGCTTTTTTTTGCATTATTTTAGGAACTGAATAAATATTTTGGCTGACATCGCTATTGTCGGCACAGTCATGATAGATTTTTAGTTGCGGATCAATTGTTGTAGATTCAGTAGCTGATCCAGAAAGCTTAAAATAACCATTTTTGTCAGTGCGAACTGAATCCATCACGTCATCGTTGTTTCCCTTCCCTACAAAAAAAAAAAAAAAAAAAAAAAAAAAAAAAA